GTTCCAACTGCATGTTGGCTAGGTGTTCCTTAAATTGGCCGGGATTAGGCTATGTAATGACTTAGTTAATATGTTTTCCAGTAAGATTTGTTGAGGGTTTTTATACTTGTCTGATGTTAAATAGCATTAATGGTAAGTAAAATGATCTGAACCAAAGACTAAATCTTAGGCGTATTTGACAATCATAAGGTAATGGACAGTTTGGACGACAGTTTTTCTTTCAAACTGACTAGATTAATATAACAAAACACAAAAATTTCGGAACAAAAATATTTTGAAATGAATGTTAAACATTTTTTAACAGAAATTTTTTGAATGTCAGAAATTAATCATTCCCAAAATGGCGCAAAGTTCAAAAATTAGGTTTAACGGAGTAAAAACAAGTTTTCCGGGCTTAAATATAAGTTTCATGGCTTATAATTCTATAATATTTGTGCTTTATAATTCTATAATGTTCATAATTCTATCATAAGCTTTTTTAATGTCGTTCGAATTACGACTGAAATGGCTCTAACATGATACGTCACTTGGCCTTCTATTCAAACGGTTATTTGTGTTACCTCAATTTGCGTTGCGTCGGACCAAAAAGTATTCAACGTTTTCAGCTTGAAAGATTAGAAACAAAAATGTTTTCATTTACTTCAACCCACGCGGCCTCAATTAAGGTTCAATCGGAATCATATCAGTTTTTTAAATTAATTTGACACGGACTTTATGCTAAAGTCTCTGCTAGTAATTGAATCCAGTTTTTGGAAAAAGAGGTAATTTATAAAGCATTTAACAGTCAGAGATTTTACTTATCAGCATTTCTTCAATGCAAAGGGTGAAAAAATTTTGTAACGAAACTTTTTCGTACGCGGAGCCTTTGAAATTTTTCTTAGCTGCCATGTGGGTAAATGGTTCCATAAGACTAAGAGCAGAGAAATATGTGATCATTGCACGATTAAAATTACGAGGCCAAACTGTGAAATGGACAGGCGCACAATTTTGTGCCTGTATGTTCCTGGATTCCAGAGAGAAGTCTTTGAACACGTTTAGAATTTGTCGCAACAATCAACGGAAAGTAAAGAACAAAATAAGAACAAAGAAAAGGTCCTAGTTGTGGAATCCGCTGACAATGCACAAAATGCACAGTTTGGCCTCGTAATAAAAATTTTTTGACTTATATCAATGATTTTGTACAGGCAAGCTCACACAGCCTTATGGAGTTATTTTGATTTAAAGAGCAGTGTATGAACTCAAACTAGGAATCAAGATAGTTTTATTGCAAATTTTGATTGGAGCTATTAAACAATTTTTACAACTTCAACTTTTAGGAAAACTGAGCGTCGAACTACCAGAGTTTGCATAACTTTGAAGTCTATTCTCTTTTGTAAAAAAAATGCTTGGCTAATTAAGGTTGTTTAATGATTAAGTTATAAATTCAATGTTTGCAAAAAAATGTTAACGTGTTTAAATTTTCAAAGTGAACAGTCTCTTTAGCTCAAGATGGGTAATTCTCAAAATGAATAATTTGTAGATTTATAACTCTTGGTTTATTGAAATTCTTTTTGATTCATTTTTGCAGATTATATAGAAAAATACTTAGTGCTTGTGAATACATTTGCCTATAAAATATTGCTTGTGAATAATTTTGCTTCTTAATAATCATAATAATACTCATATTAATCAGAATCAGAATCATGATAATCATCATAATCAAAATAAACGTAAAAATTAGAAAAATCATAACAAGACTGCTCGTATCAGGGCGAGGTGCTCAGGGTTCCGAATGCCTTTTAAGATCTATGGAGCAGTAAAAACATGAAAAATTTAAAGGCAAAAAAAACTAAAATAAAAAAAAAATTGAGATTTTTTTGTGGAAACATCCCCCACACGTCATATTAAATACAAAATCATAGATTTTGCTCCTATTAACAAATTAATTATGGCATATAAACTTCCTTGATTGAACGAAATTGGAACCAATTCTAAGACGGAATAAATCTCGCTTACGCGTTATTAGCGTGAAATATTTCTCGCGTTAATTGTTCCAAATTGGCCAAAAAGGCAAACTTTTAAACCTCTCAAACTTCACAAAAAATTATCACAGGAGAAATATCTTTTCAAATTCAAGCTTAGGACAACAATAGCTTTCAAATGATATGAAAAAACTCCGTCAAAATGGCTAGTTAAAAATTCGAAATTTGTCTGAAGAAAAAAAAACCCACCCCGAGCACGAAAATTCCGTTACTTTCTTTAGGAAAGTCGGAACAAAAATGGGTTGTTTTCAAAAAAGAGACTGTTTGTTAGGCAATTGCTACTTTACATCATTTTGGTAGCAAGGAAATCAAAAATCCAGATAGGTATGGTCAAGTGAAGCCTTAATTAAGGGGTACAATTTCAAACCCCATAGGTGCTGAGATGTTTTGTCTATAAGGCTCTATTAGCTGTCCAAACTCAGGCATCGCCAAGGGACCAAGCAGACATGATGGCTATCGAAGGAGAAAAACTCGGAAAGCACTGCACTAAAAACATAATTACTGAGGAACCGATGCAATGTCAGGTGACAATTGAGGGGCTGGAAAGAGCCCAGCGCTACATTGTAATTATTTCCATCTACATTTATGACAAACTGCTACCGGTGTCAACTACTGATCAAATGGAAACCAGTTAGTGTTTATCAACTTGCAGCTATTAACCACCTATAACTCCCAACCAACCTCACGCCTTTCGCCCTTAAATAGAACCAAAATTATCTAATATATCTAATAGATAATTGCCTCAATATATTTTGAGGGATTATATATTTTGAGAGATTATATATTTTGAGGGATTATATATTTTGAGAGATTATATATTTTGAGGGATTATATATTTTGAGGGCTTTGGTTAATATTGCTCTAAAGCAGTGAGTTTTGATTAAAAACAGTTTTAGGAGCACTAATTCTGGTAAAAAAATTCTTTTTTTTTCGGTTTTATCCATTTATTAACAGTTTTTTTTTATTTCAGCTAAAATTATGAACTTAACCTGGAAGTGAAAATTAAAGGAAACTCCAACTCGTCTATTGCTTTTAAAGAGTTTTCAATCAACAACACTTGAACAAATAATAATTTTTCAGCAGCTTTTGATTCTGATTTTTCACTTGGCTATCGCAGTTGTCGCAGTCTGGAAAAATATTAATTGTAAAAATATTTCTTGTTTTCAGATCTTATTATCTCTTGATTATGGACGGAAAGGTTTGCCTTCAACCCTAAATTTTACTTTAGTCTTAGGTTAATTAAGATATAAGTTCCTATTTTTGGAACTTATGTTTGCAACCCACCAATATGAACCATTGAAGCTTCAATTTTTTTCTATGCGCAATAAGCGCAGTGTTTAAGCCCTGGTCAAAACCATATCAAATGCACCTTCTTAAACGCCCCCTGGCGTGGGGCCCAGTGTCCGAAACAAAATTAACAAAAATTCTGAAAACAACATTTGGTTGGCTCATATTTTGTGTAGGTTATCTTTTCTTTTTTTGCGACACCAAGAGGTATTTTTTACTTTAGTGGCGTTCAACAGCAGCAGCAACACTTTGCTACTTGTCATCATTATGGTTCCTGTTCTGCTAGTGATCCTCCTGCTAGCGTCAGCGGCTGCTGCAGTCATTTACAAGAAGACCACATCATTGTATGTATAAATGTGTCACAAAATTCCAGCTAAATTCAAAAAGTCAAGGATTGATATCATTGCAAAGTATTATTGCCTTTTTTTGTTGTATATAGTCTCGGAGGTCTTTAAGCATTTTAAAAAATTTTGATTAAAGACTACCAATTTCAGCTATATTATATTGAGAAAATAATATTAGCAGTTGGTCAGAATTTTGTTCAAAACATGAACTTGAAAAAAGTTCCTTTTAAAAGATACTTTTGCTAAGTTTCAGAAAACTGTGAATCAAAAATTTAAAAAAGCGGCAAACTTACAATTTTACCTCTAATCTGCGTCGCCATCCTAAAGAAACACGAAGTTGTTTTCATGATATAGCGACAGAATGATGAAAATTTTTTACCCAATAGGAATCGTTAGATATTCCTTTTGTCTAAATGTCTGTTTCACAAAACCACAGATATATCGTGCAATTGCCGTACAATTCGTGCAGCTATACAATGAGTATGTTGTTTTGTTTCTCATTTTTTCTAAAAAGTCGGTCGTAATTTTTTTTTTCCAATACGGGACTTCGATTTCTGCTTATTAGGAGTCAACGAACGTAAATCATACTCTTAAAAAGGTCGTGATTAATTTTTTGGGAAAATTTGAAATTATTTCACGCTCAAATTCGATTTTTCGCAGCTTATGACTTTTGATTTCTTTTAAATTCATTTTATTCCATTTGGTATGTTGTCATTCATAGAATTATTTTTTCTAGTTATTTTTTCAAATTGCAACAAATGTTAATGCAATATAGCATTGAAGTTGAAAGTATAGTTTAAAATCAGTATAGTTGCTTAGTATAAAATCAGTATATAGCCCAGCGTATAAATAGTGTGTTCTGGGGAGTTCGCCGTGGGTTCGATTCGCACCTAAGTGGTTTCAATTGAGAATCCTGTTTGAGCCGAACCTGACAGAACATAAATTTTTCTAGTTATTTCTAGCCGAACCTTTTCTAGTTATTTTTCAAATTGCAACAAATGTTAATGCAATATAGCATTTAAGTTGAAAGTATAGTATAAAATCAGTTTAGTTGCTCAGTATAAAATCAGTATTTATAGCCCAGCGTAAACATAGTGAGTTCCGGGGAGTTCGGCGTGGGTTCGATTCTCACCTACTTTTAACTTTATATGCGTAATGTTGTTGCTAATTCCGTGCAATATAAATTACTAAAATTCGCCGTTTACTGATTCTCTTGAATTAGGCCGATCCAGTTTCCTGTTTTTATTCGAGTTATAAAAAAGGCCAGAATAACAAAAGTGTTTTTATTGGGATATATCAGTTGGGACTAATTGGCGTTTTTATGCACTTCCTGATACTGCAACAGGTCACGCTCAATCTTCAGCTCTTCAACGGTTTCGATCATTTGAACTGCCAGGTGTTTTTTGAGGTATAGCGTCAGAGAATAGTAGCAGAACTGTAACTGGATCTACCTAATTTCCACCTACTTTAGCGCCATTTTTCAATCACAGCTTATCTATTTTTTCAAGCATCTTTTTTCAACCAAAATTATTTAGATCACTGGTTCTTTGTTGGTTTTATTTTAAAAAAGTGTGTCATTGTCTGTAAACAACCCAAAACAAAATTAGAATATACTTGCACGAATTTTGATTACACAAAACATTCTGATTCACAAAAGTTTGCTCGTATCAGGGCGAGACCCTGAAAGTCCCGAGTTTCCTAGCGGGTGATTAACAATGATAAAAAACTGAATTTTTTTATTTTCAAAGTTGGCTATTCTTCCACTGCCCCATGTAAAAAGCCAAGGAATCTTTTTAGAATTTTTTAAATTTTATTTGGATCAATTATCATGTCTGAACTCAATTAAGAATAACTTCGGAAACAGATTAAATAACCGAAATTGCTGTGCACCAATGAATACTTGGAAATCAATGAGGTTTTTTTGATTTGGTCAAAATTGTTTGATTTTCAAACACCAGTAATTTCCAGAAATTAAGCTCAGATCATCCGTATTTAGTTCCATGTTTTTTTGGCAGAAGGCTTACATAAAAACTAGAGTGGAAAATGAACTAAAAAACAACCTGCATAAATATTCTGCTATTTAAATATTCCAACTAACTAATGGATTTCTTTTGGGAAAAAGGGCCCATTTAAGTTGGCTTTTTTGCCAAAAAAGTCTAGACAAAAACTAGAAATTGATCCAAAACAAAACGTATATTCTGATTTAAATATTCGGCCAATGTCTCCAAGAATCAGAACAAATTAGCACTTATAAAATATACGTATATCGAAAATAAACGTTTAGAAAAACACTTTTTTGTAGCCCACTTTACTGAGTATAAAATTGCCAAATTGATGAAAGTAAAACTGCAAAAATCAAGGGATAGAAGAAAAAGTGTATTTGAAAAAATTAACAAAAAAATGATCTATAAAAATGGCTGCTCGGAAAAAGTCTCCTGTCCACGTCATCGTCAGATGTATTAGTGCTTCATTTTGAAAAAGACTTTTTTGATAGAACATCTAGTATAAATTAGGTTTTCAAAACCAAAGGAATATCTTTACCAATTGAATGGGTGTTGGGTTTACAAGTTGAGAAAAAAGGAGTTTCAGGCTAAGCAATTAAAACACAAATGGCAACAAGTGAAACCATTTTTTTAAAATCAAAACACAAAAAATTTTAAATTCTGTGCATATTTCATGCTATAAATCTCCTTTTTTTAAAAGAAAGAAATACAGGTTTCAAAATTTTAAGAAGTAATACAATTTATTACGAAGATTTCAAATTTTGGTTTTTGTTTTTAGGATCTGTAAACACTTCTGATCAAATACAACAAATAGCTATTGTAATCCACTAAATTCGGACAACGGTCACAAAAAATTTACTGAAATAAACTTGCTTCATCGACATTTTCCTTGAGCTTAAAAAAAAAACTAAAATTTGGGGCTTCAGGTCTCCTTGGAATTTAATCTTAGCGGCTTGATATCTCTAGTCCTAGCTGAAAGCATATGCCATCTGTGGTATTTCATATTCAAAATCTTCTGGAAGATTGCAGCTGCTTCAAACTTGGAGAAGTTTAATGATCTAACTTGCTAATTAAAATGTTGTTTTTTTTTCTTATAGCACAGTTTTTGTTTGTAGCATTCAGCGTTCCGCCATCATAACAGCAATAAAATTTCCAAAATTTTCCAGTTTTATGTTCCATCGATGCTTTTTGTCTCCTTTAATTTTTCTTCGGTAAAAAAAACGTTTATTTATCATGAAGATATCAATAAAATAATTAAACTTTTCCGGGCTCAATTCAATCACTAAAAGGAAACACTTTGAAAAAACGTTTTGGATCGACCGTAGAATCTCCCCTCCCTAAGTGACCTACTGTAAACCCCCCTAGTCACGTCGTAATTTTGAAAAAAAATGGTTTCGTTTAAAAAATCTATTTCAAACAAACGCGTAAAATGCACTTTTCGAAAGGAATACGTATTTTTACTGTTAATTAACTAAGTGAATATTAATATCAAGTTTTGAATAAGTTTTTGTTTGGTTAATTTGATCACTTTAATTTGCCATCAAAAATGATTTTGAAAACCATTATTTTGTCCCCCTAAATCAAAACTTTCTTTACTGTAGATTTCGTTGTAGAATAAATACGAAAGGCAGGTCTTGGAAGAAGTTGATATAATCTCTATTATTTTTGTAAATTTTCAGCTTTTTTCCAGACAAATGTCAATTTTTCAACTAGCCATTTCAACGGAAATCCTTATATCAACCGAAAAGTATTGTTGTCCTGGGCCCAAACTTCAAATGAAAATCAATTTCACTTGCATCCTTTTTTTGAAAAATTAGGGGGTTTAAACATTGCCAATTTGGCCAATTTGGTGGTGATTAACGCGCGATGTATTGTAAGTTAATAACGCAAACGCGTATGCGGATATGTAATCCGACATAAAAATTTTTCCAAGTTGAGTTGATGCCGGCCATTTGATCTCTTTAACACTTTGCCAAATGTTAAATGTATTACTTTTTGCTTTACATATCGTGTTGAGAGATGAATTTAGAAAAAAAAATTACTTGGTTTTTGAAAATTTCATCTAATTATTCTAAAGCAAACACTACTCCGTAGACCTGAAAGGACAGACGAAGCATTCAAGGTGCTGCCCTGATACGAGCAGTGTTGTTGAAATATTCATTTCTATAAGAATTGTCAGGTATCAGCAACTGAAAACCAAGTGAAATGTCAGAAGAATTTGTTTTCTTGCTTAAAGCGATCTTTCTAAGGCGACCAAATTTCAGCTTTTTGCATTTGAGTTTGCGACTTACTTTTTGAGAGCTATCCTACCTCGTTTGCTTAAAACAGGAAGAAAAACTGGATCTAGTTAATAGACCGAATAATGTAAATTTATTTTCAGCCAATCAGAAGTTTAGTATTCAAAAGTCTCAACTTATTCAAAAGATTTAATACCTAAAAGATGCTGATTTTAAAACATTGAAAAACAAAACAAAAAGTTTGTTTGGTATCTGCCCAATTTGTACCGCAAATTTTGGCTGTACTGTTAAAATTAATCTTCTGCTATTTTCGATTTCGGTTTCATGCAAAAATTATCTTCCGAAAAGAACCTCGAACAACTTTGATTGCCTACAGTTTTTTTCATATTCCGTTCCCTCAATCATGAGAAAAGTGAATCCATTATCAATTCAATGTTAACAAATTTGTCTCGTTCAGGTAGTGACCAAATGTAAATTGGCAATTAAGAAAAAATTGGATATCCCATACCGGCATTTCACATTGCTTGATGTTTCTATGTCCGTTTACTAAACAAGACTTGAAATATGCAAAGTGTGATGCTTTGATTTTGAAACTAATTATAACGAACGGCATCTAAACCTAGTGGTCTGGCCGGGTATGAGAAACACTGTTGACCCTGAGCAACGAAAACATTGCTGAAGTTTCAGGAAAAATGGAACAGAAGGCAACGATGATGCAGCAAATCACTACACATCAACGGACAGGTATGTAAAGCAGCACACAGTATTTTATCTTCTGAAAGAATGATTATCCGTGGTTTTGCCTAAATAATTCTTGCCATTGTACATTGCTTTCTACCAAGAGCTTTATACGTTTTTTTTTCACTCGGAAAACAATTAAACTCGAAATACCTTTTATTCTCAATGTTTTGTCGCTTAAAATCTGTTTTAAGACGTAAAATCAATGTTTTCATCTGCTGATATTTAACAATACTCAAACTATTAAACTATCAATAATCATCAAAAGCAGTCGAAGAGTTCTAATGAAAATTAAAAAGCGGTGCTAATAACTTATACGTCTTTTGAAAAGAAGGAGGCAAACAAAACTTTAATCATAAAATCATTGGCACTGACGGAAAGCAAAAAAATTTCAATCATTTAAGGAGCAAGCCTGTAAAAAAATTCATTAAAATTGGCAGTGTCCAAATTTTGCAGGAAAATTATTGACAATGAATGTTGCAGCGCAAATGTAAATGTGCGAGAGTATAAATGCATATAAAAGTAAATACATACAGGGACAGTAGCCAAGCGTATACATGGTGCGTCCCGGCGGTTTTGGCGCCGGTTCGAATCCCGACTAGGTCATTTCCTTTCTAGAACTCGAATGTGCACCGAACTTGATGGGATGCTCCGTAACCAGGTTCGGTCCCCCCAAAACCCATTTTAACCGTCTTTTCGCTCTAATTTGGTTCAGCCTTGGTTAAGGCTGACCTTTAAAAAGAGCAATTTGTCTCAAGGACAAATACTGGCCATTTTTGCAGCTTGCTTTGAGTTATGCAGTTTATTGTGGCCGATGTTACCGATGATAAAGCTTGTTAAACATTATAAAATTATCGTTATATTTTCAAATTTCCGTTATATTTCCGGAGTTATTTTGCCGAGAAAATACTCATTAATTAAAGTGTTTAAAAACCGTTTTTTTTATAATCTTGGAGATTGACGCGCACATTTTGGCGCCCCACAAGGGACCGTTAGTGCCCTGATTGTTGATAAGTTGCCGACACGAGCTTCAACGAGGGACACAAGGGACACGAAGTCCGAAGTTATTCACGAAGTTATTCACGAATCTCTACAAGGGACCTTCGTCGTGACGTAGACAGGGTGCGTAGTTGGGAAGCCCCGGTCTTGCAGCTTTTGGAAGCCGCGGTCCCAGTAGTGCAAGAGTGAGAGAACGTAACCAATGTGGTGACATTTGCACTCTCGAGTCATTGACAACTCGGAACCTCAAACACATTTTCTCAATGAACGCCTCGTTTAACTTCTCTTTTGGCAGCAACTTAATAATATGTCCAATCACTGCGTTGAACTTTGACCTCTGACCTTCACCCTCCTTATCTGCGTCATCTTGGGCTAAACAACTATCCATATCATCAGACAAGGGGTCAACTGCAGACGTTTTGTGTGAGTTTGAAAAGTGATTGCTGGACAATTTCTCTGCGGCTGACCAAAAAACAAAGAAAATTTGACAACCCGAAACCGGTGACCGCCCAATCTCCAAACTGTAAGAAGTTTCCAAAACTTTTAAAACTCAAATTGTGCAATAAAATTACATACGGTGTCTTATTGTATATCCCAACTCAAAGCAAGCTACAAGTGGTATTTTTTCCCGATACCACAAATTTTTGGGTAATTGTGAACGGATTGAAAATCCAAAACATCGGATCATAGACAAGGGGTACTAGACTAGTTTTTTGGATTGGTTTGCGAGTCGAACCTGCTGACCAAAATTTTCCGAAAAATTTTGGGAAAAAACTAAGAAATTTCCAAAAAAATCGTCAAAACGTCCCCATAATTCTGCGAAACTGTGCTGTAACATGACACCAACCTTATGGTAAGTGGTCTGGTAGCGAAATATCAGGCAAATAAGTTGAGTTTTTTCATCCTCAGGTTTTTTCCGCGTGTGTTGTTGGAACTTAACCGATTTGCCTGATTCTCCAACCCCATTGGTAAACTTAAGGTTTACAACGACTTGATACCTGTTTGCATCCGTTCGCTTTTCAAAACATTCGTTTCGCAACGACTGACTAAGTGGTCCGGGACGGTAAAACTAAGCAAGTTAAGTTGTTGTCTTTCATCCTCAGGTTTGCTCCGCGTGTGTTGTTGGTTTTCAACCGACTTGCTTAATTCCCAAACCTCTTGGTAATTCGTCGAGCTACTAGCCGATTAGTAGTGACGCACCGTCGTACGATCGTTCAACAAATTTCGTAGGCCGTAACATCATCCTAAGTGGTCGGGAGGTGATATTAAGTAAGTTAAGTTGGTTTTATTCATCCTCAGGTTTACTCCGTGTGTGTTGTTTGATATCAACCGACTTACTTAATCCCCAGCCCCATTGGTAACTTTACTCACCGAAAACCGTTCCGAATCGCCCCGCAAACGCCCGATAACGTTAAGTATAGTTTGAGTTAAGTATAGACCCTAGAGCCATGGATGAGAACTTTCAGAAGAGGGTTCAAAGGTTATTTGCGAAGCGAACCAAGCTTGAAAATGAACTGTACAAGTGCCATGAGATTATAATTGAGAACATTGAATGTCAGAGTCGCTCATCAAAGATTGACACTCAGATTCAGAATTGCAAGAGCCTGATAGAGACTGCAGTTGAAATAAATGAGGAATTGATTAAATTAGCTTCTAAAAGTGTTGATCCTGATAAATTGATACCAGCGCAGGATATGTGGCTTCATACGGTTACATCAAGAAACGATACAGTTTTACAGAAGGCTGCATCATATAAAACTGGCTTAAACGTTGAACCTGAGGAAACAGAGCTTGACAATGTTTCAGAATCGTTAAGTACGATCGTAACAACACAACCACAAGATTCACATGAAGCAGATGCGCGCTCTAAGGTGTCGCGGTACAGTAGTCGACATCATAAATCAGGTTCGCATAAATCCAGTCGCTATACCGTCGCGCAGTCAAAAACATCAACTGAGAAGAGGCGAGATTTGGTGGTTTTGAAGAAGCAGCAGGAGGAACTTGAGAGACAAGCAAAGGTGTCATTGAAGTTGAAAGCGCAGCAAAATAAAATAAAAGAACAGCAAGGTAATTTAGAGTTGGAAGAACTAGCTGAGGTACACCGCAAGAAACTGGCTGAAATTGAGTTAAAGGAATTCGAGTTGGAAGAAGAGCTTTCTGCAGCAAGTGAGAAGATAGGAAATGCTAGCGTAACACATGTTGACCCACAACGTACTGAACAATGGGTAGAAAACGTTGTCACTGAGCAAGAGCAGGCCGAAGTTGTTGCAAGCTCAGAGCAAAGTCATCCAGTAGTCGAGAGTTCCACTTTGATTGCTACTGATGTTTTGCAAGGGGTTGGTGCCGTCGTCAGCGGGGGTGCCGTCGTCAACGCTGGTCAAACCACATACAGTGAACCGGGAGGCCACAATAGGAATCGAAATCAGGCTCAGAGATCAAGTTTGGTCCAATCGCGTCTGTCATTGCACTCAATCGAGAACCCATCTAGTTTACCACAGTTCGTTGCCTCCAGCTCAAACTTTGTTACTCCACACTTAGCTTCAACACCTCATGCTGAAGTTTCGCAAAATCACAATCTGATACCACAAGCAAGTGGTAGCATTCCCGCTTCAATGCCCTTTGGTAATCCCACCATTAATGTGGCACCGCCTTCTGTGTCGACCGTTACTAATCCAGTTTCGCTTCCGGCGAGTCAACCTTTTGTTCCTCCATTAACCGTTCCGATTCCCATTTCGCTTCCGATTATTCAACCATTTGTCCCGTCAACCGTTCCTATTCCCTCTGTGCTTCCGGTCAGTCAGCCACATTCCGGCCCCGTTTCAACTGGGTATCAGCCGCCTGCAGCGCCATCCCATCAACCTATAAATGTTCCAAACAACCCAACAAGTTTCTCAAGTGAACACTATAACCCGTATAGCAGTTTGTGGAGACCTGCCGCGACTGCGCAAACGATGCCAGTTCCTCAATACTGCGCACCGCCCTCAAACGTTTTCTCAGTGACAACTCCTGTTGTTCCACCAAACACCGTAGTTCCTTATGCAAGTTTTGGGACTGTGTTTTACACCCAGCCGCAAACTCATCCAGTTGTTGAAACAGCGCATCAAGGTTATCCACCTACATATCCTGCGCCCACTACGGGCCCGTCTTACGTGCCTAATAGCGACGAACAACCCATCTCGGCGAGAGAGTTAGCAGACATCATTCTGCATAGCCGCAAAGACCGTCTACCGGAGTTGAAATTGGAAGTGTTTGATGGAGAACCACTTAACTGGTATGAATGGTTCGGGCAGTTCCAAGCAACAGTTGATTCGGCTATGCTAACTGATGATGAAAAACTCAAATATCTGAAAACACACGTTAAAGACAAAGCCAAGAGTGCAATTGCGGAATACGGCTACAGTGGAGTGTTGTATAAGGATGCTCTAGCAACTCTCCAGAGAAAGTTTGGGCAACCTCATGTTGTAGTTGGTGCACATTTGGATAAGTTGAAGAATTTTCCCGCATTGAAGATGCACAACTCTGACCATGTTATAAGTTTTTCTGCGGTGATTTCTGGGCTCGTAGCTGTTTTTAGGTCTTTGTCGTTCAATGACGACTTGAAAAGTGTGAACCTATTAAATCAAGCCGTCAGTAAGCTTCCTCCAAATCTAAAAGAAGCATGGTCCATGCATACTGTTAGACAACATTGGCAGCGATTAACATTGCTAGACTTCAACGATTGGCTTAAGAATAAGGCAGAAGGCCATGAGCGATTGAAATCTTTAGTCAAAGTCGAGCAGCCAGTTAAACAAAAAGTAGTTACAAAAGTGCTTGCAGGTAACACTAAGGTAAGTTCTAAGGATGAGAAAAGTAGAGAAAAGACAAGGTTTCCTCCATGCTCGCTATGCAAAGGGCAGCATGCACTCTGGAACTGTTCCGTGTTCAAAGAGAAAAACGCAACACAGAGGGCTAAATATGTAGCAGAACAAAAGCTCTGTTTTTCTTGTTTACAAGGCAACCATACCTTCCGAAAGTGCCAAAAGGCAAGAAAATGCCCAAAACAGGACTGTG